CGAATTCGATTGCTAGTCATTCGAATGGAGAAAAGAATAAAGATGAATGAATGACCGGTTTCTGTTTGAATGAGATAAAAAAGTGATTGATCGAAAAAATTGTCGCTCTGAAGATTTACGAAGAAGAGTCGCACGAAATGCGAACAATTGATGGGCAGGTATAGCACAAAAAATGTGAACACTAAATAAACGTTTCCGTTATGATAACGATAATGAACAATGGTATTGATACGTTTCAAAATGAGCTCACAATGAAACAATAACATATTTCTACTAACATATCTATTTTTTTCTCTTTTTCGCAACATATCGCATTCATTCATGATTTCAACAGTCACACACATAAGTGTGATGAAAAACCATAGAATATATAAGGTAGGGCATATTTCGAAGCCTTTACTTATGACAGTCGTAACAATCCATCGATATCCATTCAACAATTCAGTTGTTGGAATAAAATGTACCTGATCAAGGACTTCATTGATGGCCGAGTCATCGATCCATACAATGAAACGCTCATCTGAACCCCACTCCAACTCCAGATCCGTATTGTTCAAAAAATCTTGATTCTCTTCTGAATCGTCAAGCAAGTTCGTCTCATTCCACTCCAGTTGGGCATTCACCAGGGCATGTTTCTCGGCAACTCTTATCGAATGAATTCGATAAAATAGAATTGGCTCGCTTTCATTGAATAGCGATCGATATTGCGATGGTATCACCTCATCAAACGACATATTCCTTGAATCATTCATTTTTCAATTCAATATTGTTTCTGTTCCATTTCAGCCTTATGTTTTTCGGCAAAACGTGCGATTTGAAGAGTGTCAAGTGACTTGATTGAGAGATAATTACAATAAGTTTACAGATGGAGAACGTGCATGAATTGGATGAGGCAACTCGGATGGAAATGCTGCAAGCCATATCGAGCGAGTGACATTTCGGTGCGTTTCAACGTGGAAATGATCACGCATAGCGGAGTGCAAACCTTGTGATACTTAATTTATGAGAATAGAGAAACGGTTCGAAATAAACCACAAACTTGATTTGGTAACGCTCAATAGATGCCACATAGTCGGCGATGATTGGGCACAAAATGTGTTGTAGGTTATTTTGTATGGGGCCGGATGCGAACGAGAGCACTTTATTGGCAATCCAATAATTGACTGATGAGGCGATCACAGTTGGATCACGCAGCGTGCACGATAGCATTCGAAGGGTGTCATCCTCTAAACGAGCTGCCACTTCGATGTCACTCAACTGAAATCA